TCAAGTTTATTTTTTGTTTTCTGTTTTGTTGCATCCCTTCAAGCTTATAACACATCTCTTGAAAAAATAAAAACACTGAGAAATGGTATTTCTTTAACATGGACATATCTAGATAAAAGGCTGAGTTTTGTAGTTATTGATACATCTGGTAATTATTCTAGTTGTTAATTGATAAGTTTATATGATTTATATAAAGACCATAGTGAAAATTACCCTGTTTATAAATGGTGCTTTTTGTTTTTTATTTGGGCATCAGTGACCTGAGCCTGGTCTGGTGAGGACTTGATCAAATACTGTTTGACATAAACGTTTAATGTGTTTGTCTTAGTAACACACAATGAGCCATGTACAGTAGAAACATCATGTTCATAAATAACAGGCCTTTTTTTCTTGGTTGTCTGTGGCACAGTAGAGATGGTGTGATGAATCAGGTGAAACTGAGAGCTGGTGGCGGGGCCCGGTGCAGCAGTTTCATTGTCTCAACTTGTTACACAACCGCCAGAGGGAAAGCCTGTCAGAGGCTGACGCAGGAGAGGTTTGTTATGGTTTTGACCAAGTGTGACTCGCTGTTTTTCACAGCTGTCCACCAAGGGGGGGGGTCCTTGTCAGAAGGAGCTGTGGCAGATGCCTCCACCCCTGAGAATGATTAGGCTGTTTAGTGGCAGGATTAAAGAAAGCCTGTTAAAAAGTAGATGCTCCTCAGAGCTGGAACAGGGTGTCGCCTCCAGCAGTTGCCTGTTAGAACAACCAGCTACTGTTTCTATTTACTGGCATCACACAGGGCTGAATGATGAGCTGAGTGATAAAAAAATAATTGCCAATAATCAGGGAAATTTTAAGTCATCTATCAAGCACGTATACAAAACATTTGTCAGTTGCAGCTACTCGAATGTGAGGAGTGGACTGTTAACAGACAGAAAATGTGATTTTCAAAAGTTGCATTGGACTCTTTCCTTGTTTTTTGACATTTTTGACAGCCAATTAATTGAAATAGAATAAATTAATCAACTAGACAGCACTCAAGAGTGCAAACCTCAGCCTCCCCACTATGCCATTCCACCTATAAATATAATAAATCCAAGGGTTTACTTACTTTTTCCACCAGCACTTTAAATGTTTAATGGCTGGTTTTTAGTAAAGACATGGAAAATTCTAATTAGTTGTGTGGTATTAGCGTCAGCACATTGTGTCTTTCTATGCTGGTGACTTGCATGAAAATTGGATCACATTTTATGACCAAATCATCTAGTTCCAAATGGTACACTTAGGTTTTTTTTCTGCCACTTTAAGTACTCGCACTCGATGTGAAAATATTGTTACATCTCTAATTTGAACATTGAGTACTGCGACCTCTTTACTTGTAAGTGATGCAAGCTTAATGGCACATCTGTAATAATGAGGTGCACAGTAACGGTTCTGAGGCTTCAAGTTGCATCTGTAGGTTTATAGTTTCCAGGCTTCAAGGTTAAAACTCCCACTGTGAACTGCAGTGTTCCCTGTTTGATTCTGGCTTGTGCTGCATGCTTTTCTCTCAAACCCTGTCATCTTTCCAATATCATTTCTAATAAAGGCAGAATATACAAAAATAATGCTGATTCTGCCCACATAGACTAGAATAAGGCTTTATTGCACTGTCAGCCTGACAGTTATAACATTAACATGAAAATGGGCTTATTTTATGGTTAAAGCATTAAGCTCTCTGCAGTCGTATGCAGTTCACACAGGTGTGTGGCCTCCTGTGCTGTTGACATTCAGTGACATGGTGTGTGTGTGTGTGTGTGTGTGTGTCTCTGGACTGTGCTGCATGCCTTGGCTATTCTTGATCGCTCATGCCCGGTGCTATGCAAGAGTGTCATTTCTTCTCTGACATGCTGACATGCTGGTGTTAATAATAACTGTGCATTCCCCAGGTCTGCTGTTTCACTGGCATCAAAAGAGGCCAGAGCTTTGCTGGTTACAGTTTTATTCCGTTATGAGATTGCGTTAGCGCAGTATTGTGTTGCTGAGTTCACAGGGCTTCAATCCACGAGGCGCACAGTCCAACATTTAAAGCTGTGATTGGTCAGGTTACAAGTGTCCTTTGTTTATGTGTTGGGTGCCTGTTTTATCCGCTGAACATGAGCAGTCAGTTAATTCTGACAGGGTGGCTTTACTAAAGGCCAAAACGGAGAGCTGACATCTCATTTTATTTTAGTCAGATGGAATTGATCCTGCTTTTATCCAGGCTAGACAGAGATGTTCTCACTTCAGAAACGCTGTGATTTATTATCGGCCTCCACTCGGCTGCTCTACTGTATCAGATCTGATCCAGATAATGGATACAGCTGCGCTGGTCATGTCTGTCACCTTGAC